ACGCAAATTATAGCTGCAGCAAAAGTAAGTTATATTTATGAAATTATTTGTTCGTATTTCACGTTTGCGTATTACTCATTGCTTATGTGAAATTACAGCTTTTAATTTTGCAAAGAGCAGAAGATTTAAAAGAAGAATGTGAGGATGTTTTGGACGGTATTATCATAAGTCAAATAGAAGCAAGTACATAAATATTAATAATTGTATATAATGTTCTTCCTAAACGAGATTCTTGTGAAGAATTTAATTTCACAGACGTGACGAAATTATAAATAGAAATAAACGAGAATCATATCTTCTTTAGAGAAAATAAATTTAATTATGGTTTCGGTAAAATCCAAATTATTTATATGTATAAACAATATATTGTACAATCGAACAATGCGTTTATTAAGTATTTATGCAATATTAATTAAAAAATGAAATAAATTATGTTTTTTGTATATAATACTCTATAAATTATGTTTTTACACAATATGTTATAAACAACATATAAAATTATTATTAGATATCTTTTATCTCCTACACTACAACCATGATTTGTGCCTAATGGAGCAATGTGTTTCAAAGAATGGCACATTGTTTAAGCAGGCACATAGAGTAATTCCAAATGATGGTTGATTATGCTTATTACTTAGAGGTAATGGTAATATCAACAAAAACATATGGAACATTTTTATATAGAACAACTTTAAGTTTTATTTTGTGTAAAAAATAAAATATTGCTCAAATAATACACTGTTATCTTTTTTTATATAAACATGATTTCAGCGTAATTGAAGGAAGATTTTTCCGTTTCATACTTATATCTTCTTCTTTCTTGAAATCCATAAAATAAAACAGGTTGTGAGACAAGTCCTTCCATGTATTTTTGAAACCATAACTACGCAACAGTCTTATAAAATCCTTTACGTCTTCGAATCTGCTTTCGACTTCGGCTATTTTCAAGGTTCCGCTAAATTTATTGGAACAAGAGCATTAATTTCTTACATTATTGCCATCTCAAGAGTATCATTACTACTTACTTATTTTTAAGAATCCTGTTAGCTTCTATTATATAATCGTTGAGATTAGATCCCATTAAAGAGAGACAGAAGACGACAACGTGGACGCTGTTCATCAGTAATGGAGTATGAGCCATATCGCAAGCTTTCACTCTGTCATTCAGAGCAATGAAATCAAACGAGTGTACTTTGTGAGGAACAGAAGCGGCGAGTCGTGCTTCACCACATCCAAAGTCAGCGATCACATTGTCCGTCGACCTGTAATTATAAAGACATTGTAGGGTTCAGACCTGCATAAATTTCTTTTAAGAATAAAACAGGGTATACGAACAGTTTTTTAATTGACGATATTATAACGTCCAGTGGATTCACCGCCCATTGTTCAAGTTGCTGTTTATATCCCGCATGATAAGCCATGAAAGCATCAGGGTCCGTTTTGAAGTAATGCTTAGATTGCGAACTGTCATTGCTGTACAGTATTTCATTTATAAATCTGAATCTAGACGCTCTCAATTGCGTTATCATTCTATCTCTCAAAGGAAGTTGCGTAACTTTCGGTTTTGGCTGCGACTTACCAGTGAGCATTTCCTCTAATTGTTTAATATTTATTTTATGCTTGTTTAACTTTACTATCTTGTCAGGTTTTACCTGTTGTGCTCCTACCTCAGCCGATATTTGTTTCATCTTCTTTTCATTTACCTTTTTAAGTTTTTCAATTTTCGTTTTTCTACGCTCAATATCGAGATTCGTTGCAGGCATTTGTAACTTTTTATTTCTTTCCTTTCCATCGATTGTCGCAGGACCCTTATTTGCGTGATCAAGATTATCTCGTTTTCGTTTTCTACTTCGTTTTCTCTTCTTACGTTCTGTTTTATTTATGTTAATTTGTACCTTTTCGGACACCTCTGACGTTTTTCTGTTATCTTTTGGATATTTTGCCTGAACATCTGATCTTTTTGTATCTTTTACATCAAGATTATTCTTGGAATCACGCTTTTTTTTCTTTTTAATACTTTGTATATTTGTGTATGTGTTCTTCGCTACTTCGTTAGATGTATTTAATTTCTTTAAATTACTTTTATGTATGCCACTCAATGGTACTTCATTATCTTTCTTTTTTCTTTGTTTCTGAAAGAAAGAAAAATAGAAATAAAAAGATCTTGTATAGTAAACTCGAAACGTGAAATAAAGGAATGAAAAAAAGACTTATTAAATATCACATATTATTTAAGAAATTTAACGAGAATTGATTACCTTCACGATGGATGTTTTCGTACTTTTTACAACAGGCTCTTGTTTGTCCCGTAGACTTTTTTTAAATTTCGCCATTATTAGTTTTGTTAAGATAAAAAATCATAAATCTTTTATCGTAAAATCACTGTTACGTTTATGTACAATTTAATTTAACACGGACAGGTTCAAGACACCTTAACCTCTATCAACAATTCAACATCCAACCGGTGCAAATAAGCAAGCAAAAAGACGCCACTACGTGGTCTACACGTGACTACTCAAAATTCGTTTTTCTTTCGCCTACAGCTGGTAACAAAAAAAGCACTCTTCTGATCAATTTACTACAACTCCAATCCGTGAAAATGACGAATTTCAAGATTTCAGAAATGATTAATAAAGTGTTTTTTTATGTTGATTTGTCGAGATATATAACAAAAATAATTATAACATATGCCAATTTATTTTCCACCAATATTAGGTCTAATTTCGAAGTTCTGTATATACATATATTTATTACTCCAGAAGAACCGACAGTCGGTACTCGACGGCATCTTAATTATTGATATACGATAATTTACTCGCGCGGTTCCGGCGGTTTAAGTTGAAACTATAGTTCCTAGCCGTCTACGAGATAGCGTTACAATGACCACTCTTCGCCGGAAGCGAGCGCAGGCGGCAGTGCAGTGTCGCAGTTCGCAGTGTCGGTTCGGTTCTCTCGGCTCTCCTCAGTAAACAATATGGCCGGTACGTCGTGGTGCGCGTGTTATGTCGTCCTCGCCGTGTTCGCCGAGTGCCTACGTCCGTGCTGCGAGCGGGGTTAACGGTTCACGGTAAGTGCAAGCCCGAGATTAATTAATACACCTGTCGAGTGGCATGTAAAGAGACATATCGGAATCGCCGGCGTCCGCGCGACGCGACCACGCGCGCGCGCGCGCACCCGCGCGTGCTCGCGTCTGCCTGCGAGACCGCCGACGATTTTGACCGAGAGGAAATTCGTTCTCGGAGCTGAGGAAAAAAAAAGGAGAGTCGTGTTCGACGCGATCAGGAGCGCTTCCCCTCGAACTCCCGTCGACCGTCCGTCGCGACGGTAACAGGTGTCGTCGCGTCGTATTAACGGGGCGCGAGTGCGCTCGCGAGTGCACGCGCACTCGTGCCCCGTTAAGTCGTGCGGGTAAAAGGTGCGACGTCGAGACGCTTTTCGCGAATTCGCGAGAGAGAGAGAGAGAAAGAGAGCCGCTCCTACCATCAATTCACCTTCGACGGGCAGGCGCGTTCGTCCGCCCACCTCGCGGTTTCGCGACCCTCGCGAACTTGGCCGCGAGTTCCGTTTTTTGCACGCCGGCGACGACGACGGCGCGCGAGAGACGCGCCAGCTCGCGTGGCCGCCGAAGCAACAGGTTTTTTGTACCGAGAAACCGTGCGGCGGCGGCGGCGACGACCTCTGATGCTTCGCTGCGAGATCCGCATCCGTCGCGAGAGATGCGTCGTCGTCGTTAATCGAGAGCCGAGATTTTCAATGTGTTCCGTCAACGTCGTCCGGACGATCGACTTTCAGATCCTGGAGGATCTGTATAAAACACGCGACGGTTTGTTAAAAAGTTATATCTCGTTTCGAACGAGGTAGACAATTTATTTATGAAGAACTTTGTTTAATAACTTTTTCAACTGATCTCATTGTTGCGCGAAGTTGAACTAATTCGCGTCAAATAAGCGTGTACCTCGGGAATAAGGACGCAACAATTGCGAATTTGAAATCACGGGATTTCAAAATTGTAGACAGATTTACGGAGGAGCGAGAGAGAAAGAGAAAGAGAGAGTGGTACGCCGCGATCGCGGAAATAAGGGGAATCGCGTCTCGGGGGAGCGGCGCGTGCTCCGTACCGCGCGTGAAAAATCACGCTGTGACGTAAGACGCGCTGACCTCAAAATTCGCGCCGCACGCACGTGTGCGCGCTCTTGCCACGTTCCCCCGGTCGCTTCTCGCGCGAGAGTTGAGGGATTTCATACGACGCGACGTGGAAGGGAAACGAAATTTCGACGAAAGAATCGGTATTGGAAGAAAAGAGCGGCGCGCGCGCAAAGAAGTCGCTTCGGAAAATGCCGCGATTCAAGTTTCATTTGACCTCGTTTCATAATTTACAAACTCGGAGCAGAAATTTGACTCGACGTGCCGAATTATGTAACAATTGATTTATAATTGAACAGCTCAGCGAGAGAAAAAGAAAGAGAGAAAGAGAGAAGTCTTAAAAATTTAATGTTTTCTATGTAGTGTTCTACGCTCTGTAAATTAAAATGAGCATAAGAATATGTTACCTCAATCAGGGGTAATGTTATATAATAACGAGGAAAAATGTACTATTGCATATAATAGGTCTCTAGACATCATCGTCGTGCCTCGTCGTTACCTCCGTAAACTTTCATATTAATTAACTTCCTCTAATTCGCGAGATGTAAATTTCATACAAGATCGCGATTGGAATTGTGCTTTTCGCATAATGAAATGAAGGCGATATTCCGAGAAATGATACTTTTACGGCACGCGTGCGATTTGTAAAAAGAAAAGAAACATGACCGAGCAGTTTTGTTCAAGTCAACGAGTCGATATCTGCCTCTCTTTTCCTTTTCAACTCTTCTCTCGGCGATAATTACCGCGGCACTGCTCGGCTATCCTTTACATTTTCCCTCCTGATTGTGTATTCGTAATATTTACGCGCTCTACCACAGCGACGATAACGTTTTGCGTATAATTATAACTCGACGTTGCTCGTCGAATAATTGTAAAAAATTGTACGCTTTGTAATTGCTACCTCGTAGGCCTAATTGAATATTGCAGATCCGTTTCCCAATTTTACTTACTCCCTCGAGTAATTGCGACACTTCCTCGTGAGGAACGGCACACGGTCGCGAAAGAGTTAAACTTCTTCGGGGAAAAGCCGCGTCACGCCTCTTCGCGTCGCGAGCCGACTCTCTCGCTTCCTCGCGAATGACGTAAGTTGACGCATCGCGGCCTCCTCGTTGCGCTCGTCCGCTAGCTAGTTAATGCTCGGGCCAATGCTAAGATCTCCATTGATTGGTGCCTCAAAAGCGAGCGTCACACCGACACTCTTTAGCGAAAACAGATTGATAAATCGCGGACACGGCAGTTTCGCGGGTATTAGTGACACCGCTCGTATTCCCGAAATAACGAGCACTTAACGTCACGGATCTTTTTTTTTTCAATCTTTAACAATCCTCGTCGACATATGTCGTTGAAATAAATTTGAGACATTTTGCGTATATGCAAGTCTCCTCTTCTAAATATTATGTAAATTGCTCGAGATTTTAATTTGATGCTCAAGACTTTTGATAAATTAATTAAAATTGAATTAAATTAATAAATTAAAAAGCAAAAAGGCAACATAAGCGTCAGACGTGAATGTAGATTTCCATGTATAAATATAAACTTCTGATAAGTACCGGTTTGACATTTCGGAATATTTTTCCCGTAGAATGCTGCGACGTGAAAGGCGACGGCCGCGGCGCTCTCGGAATGATTTTCGGCCAGTGTCTAGGGTATTCCGAAAGCGTCCTCGGTCCGCTTCGCGCAAATGGAGATCCTTTCTCTCCGGCGAGGCAAAGACGTCGCACGACCTCGGGACTCGTCGGCGTCACGTGCGTTTTCGCTGAACAGAGGATATACGTCTCGTGCTTATGCAGATCCGTCGTCGCGCAATCTCTGGCCGCCTTCGTCGCGAGCGAATCCTCGAGCGCGCGCGCGATTTTCGCCGGCAATGACAAGACGCCCCTTTGTTGTTGCCAGGTGAATAATCGCGGTGCAAATAGCGATAAGTGACTCGGGGAATAAAGATCGCGACGACTGGCGCACGCGGGGCAAACAGTCGTCGATCTGTTTAACACGTAATCTCTTCGTAGCCTTGGAATCTGCAGATCACTCTAAATCTTTTTTCTATTCGCACACTTTCTTTCGACATGTCGCATCGAGGTTTACAGTATAATTGTGTTAGAGTTAACGCAATTTGGTTTTAACATTTTTTTTTATTAAGCGGTATCCATAATTAATGTAGAGAATCTAAGCCGATTTTTAGTACTTTTTGAATTTAAAAAAAAACCTAAATTTGAGAAAATTATAGCTTGCTAAAGTTTCTTTGATGACGGCAACTTCAAAAAGGTATGACGTCATTTCTTGTATAAGGTATGACGTCACAACACGTTTTCGTGTACTATATTTTCTTCAATTTTGAAGATATTGCAAAAATTCAAAAAGTTTACAAAGAAAGTATGCCATGATCTATTAGACCGCTTAATAAAAAAAATTTATGTTAAAACCGAATTCACCGCGTAGGGACAATATAACGATAACTATTCGTGAATCTGTATTTATGATTTCACGCACAGCGAGCTGAATTTACGAAATGAATATTACTTTTTACGTAATTTTTTTTTTCAACGCGACACTTCGCGAGCTGATATAGCGTTCATCGCGTCGCGTATCGCTCGGTATAACTACGTCGCTTTATTATCGCCTTATTTTAATGAATAAGACCTAGGTTAAATAACCACAATCGCTCCGATTGTTACTCCGCGTAGTTGAAGAAGTATACGCTATCGTCCGCCTTATCGCGCCTAACGATCGCACGGACAGCATTAGGTCACATCGATTCCCTTCACCCCTGGCGTTTTCTGAATAATGGATGCATTTCCATTACTCGTGCGCTCTAGGGGATGTAATTCGCGAAGCGTATATATCCCGCTGTCGTTTTCGCACGGCCTGTCAACAGGCAACAAGATTCCCCGCGACGAAATCGTGACGATATGTTTTGCCGACGCGCCATCACGCATTACCTGACAAGTGTTTTCTCTCTCTCGTCAAATAATATCGCTATAGAGCTAGATAATTATAGAATTATCTTACATACTTAACGTTAATTACTATAACGTGAGGTCGTTAACGCGCGTGCACGTGGTGAAGTTTGATAATTCATCGTTGTTCCTACCGTCGTTTTTTTAAGCGACAATTAAACGTCGAGTATCTTGTATTTATCTTACAATTAGTTATCATCGATTTTCTTTATTTCTCTTTGGACTTATTTTTCGCGCTAGTTATGTGGAAATGAATTATTCATTTTTTTAAACTTGCGATTCTAAGAGCTATACGAGGCGATATTTTGATTGTTTATTAGGATTGTTTATTAGTTTTGACGTCTCCAAGAATGGCCCGGCCTCGTAAATTGTTTTACCACGGTGCTCGAATGATCGATACGTCGAGATCAGCCGATATTGCGGAGATTTGTACGCGAGAAAACGAGAATGTTACGTCTCGTATAGTTATCAGAATCATGAAGGCCGCGATTGCGATTTGCAGCGTAACGAGCATAAAACGCGTCACGCTGTTTACATTTTCGAGGAACGAATAAATGGCGATTTATCTGATTTATATCTGTCACGGAAGTTGATTTACGAATTCGTCGAGCATCCTCTCGTATCTTGTAAGATGCTAGAATGTTCGGCGTGCTCTCAGAGATTGCTAAACGTAAAAGGGTACGATTTTTTTACCCTTTTTAAAGTATGTAATATAGATGATAAATTTTTATCGTAAAGTATACTCAATTGTGATAAGCTATTCAATTTCA